AATATAATTGACAGAATATAGAATTGTCCTGCACCGTGTCTTGCCATTTGTGAGTAAACCATGTATAATTTTTGTTTGACTTTGTTACTTTTTTATCACTATGGTAAAAGACCATGACCAAGGCCATTTATAGAAGAGTTTATTTGTGCTTATAGTTCCAGAGTGTTAGAGTCCGTGATGGCAGAACAAAGGCTTGGCAGCAGGAGTCACAAGCACCAGGCAGAGACAGCAGATTAGCAATGGCAGGGGTCTTTAAACTCTCAAAGCCCACCTCCAGTGACGTATTTCCTCCCACAAGTCCACATCTCCTAAGCCACCCCAAAGAGTACCACCAACTGGAGACCAAGCATTCATATGTTCAAGATTATGGAGGACATAATTGGCGGTCTGACAGACCACCAATGCTCGGTGTCAGAAAGCTGACACTGTGTACATTTGAAGTGTAAGGGAATGTTGTGACATTCCTCTTTAGTTTAGGAGCTAGAACCTGCCGTTGGCCTCTAAAGTAAGAGTTGTTGATCCCACTTTACACTTAGTCCAGTGAAAAGCATGCAGAAGCAGGAGCAACAGAATCATCTGAGGTTGACCAGACAAGGTGGTGCACGCCTTTAATCCTAACACTTGGAGGCAAAGGCAACTTGATCTCTGTGAACTGTAGACCAACCTGGTACATACAGTAAGCCCCAGGTCTACTGGGGCCATACGATGAGACCCTGTCTTTAAAAATGCACTTATGGTAGAATTTTAAAATGGGAATTGGAATTAAACAGAAAAATTAGGGGACCATTCTGGATGCGATGGAGATGGAGAGGTTCTTTAGGGAATGACAGGCTCTGAAGCAGTCCAGAGGAAGGGAACACCCTGTCATTTCTTGGCCCACTCCCTACCCCCTCCATGTCACTGTGTCTATAACCACCAAGAAGCCTAGGACTCTGTCTTCTGTGAGGTTGCCTTTGACTGTTCTAAGTGTTTGGTCTTTGTCTACCTTTATGAGTATGAGTATGTTTTAAAGATTTATTTTTAATTATGTATAGGTGTTTGTGTATATGAGCACAGGTGTCCAAGAGGCCAAAGGCACTGGATCCTCTGGAACTGGAATGGCAGGTGGTTGTGAGCTATCATCACGGGTGTTGGAAGTCCAATTCACACTCTTTAATAGCCGGATCATCTTTCCAGTCCCCAAGTCAAGATATCTTTATCCCAAGAAATAAATCAGGTCTCCCTTGTAAAAGCCATAAGGGGGGGGGGGGTGCTTCGGGTCAGTTAATTTTCTAAGTTAAACCCTTGCCCAGGCATTTTATTCATGCTAAACTTGGCCCTTCAGAAGCAGACTTTCTATTTTGTGCCAACCTGGTTATTAGTAATGATAGGCCACTCCACAGCCTGGCAAGATTTGCCCTTTGAACTGTTGTGTAAGCCCACTGTACAGTTGTTGCTGCATCCTCCTCTGTTTATAATTCATAAATTACAGTCCATGAGAAGCCGCCCCGCGACCCTCCCTGTTACAAGCCCGTGGTGGAGCGGTACATATTTATTTCCTAGGATGCCTGGTGGGTGGGATGAACATTTTTGTTGATGCGCCCCCTCCCCATTACTTTTCTCCTTTTTCCCCTTTACTCCTCTTCTTTGTCCCACTATCCTTTGGTCACTGCACTGCTGAATGTGTAATAGGTACTCAGGAAATGTTTTTATGTGGTCTGGTAACAAGAAATAAATATTCATTTAATCATAGCCTTCTGGTCCCAAGATACTGTCCCTGAAGAGAGGCTTCCGCGATGTCTGGAGTAACAATAGCGCTGAGCTGCCCTGCCTGCCCAGCTATTGGCCTGCTGTTGTCCGCGTCCTGGTGTGACAGAGAGGACTAGCTAAACCCTCCCGCTGCTGTGCGTCTTCTCACACTGTACAAGTCCTCGTCTCTAGCCCTCTGAAGGCACATGGCTGACTTCATAGGGTGACATCAGATGGGTGCTGTCCAGCAGTTTACCCAGCTCCTCCCTGCTCATGGGTACTGCTTGTACTTCTACCCATCTTGTTTTTACCATCCTCACACCAGGAGAAGACCACCGTCCAAGGACGACCTGCTAGTTTCCTGAGACGAGAAGAAATACTGTCTCTACAAGTGTTTAGCAGCTCGTACTTTTAGAATTTGCTTTCCGGTTTCCTCTGTATGCTTCTCTTTGTCCCAATGAATGTTTTTAATTCTTTTGAAACCTTTGAGGTAGGCACTGTTAGGAGGAAACTAAGGCATCAGGCTAAACACCTCAGCCTAGATCATGTGGGAGGTGAGTGGCAGGGCCAGGAGCCTGTGTCTCTGCTTCCAGCACTGTTAATTTTAACCCCAACAGTGTGCCCTTATCAGTCCAGGCGATTCTGTAGTCAGGAGTTCATGTGATTAAAACACTTTTAAAAGACCACATTCATCCAAAATATTAAAGGATGCTCTGTGTGGCGTGTTACTTAAGAAGAAAAATAACAAACTGAGAAAGGCAGTCCACTATAGGCCTGGGATTTCCCTGAGTGAAGCATTCTAGAACATGTAGGCCTGGACGGTCCTGACTGCGCTCCCAGTGGCCACAGCGCTAACCCACTAGCCACTGAGTGAGTGAGCTGTTTTGCAGTAGAACCCCCAAGCTGGTTCGGAAGTAATGCGTGGTGCAAACAATAACATAATAGAGTGCTGTCTTAAATGGTCGGCCATAGGGGAACTCAGTTAAGTACTAGAATTACTGAGCACCAATGATAGACCAGGAGTCTTAAGTCTTATGGAGCTCTTTTTGCTTAGGAAGAGTTACTTGATTTGCTTTATCGCTATAGAAACAATGCAAGCAAGAGATAAAGTCCTCAGAACAGCGGGGCATCTCTGACAGCATGTGACAGAGAGCCAGACCTCGTCTTTTCTGAGGAAGGGCTGCTTTGGCCTCAGCCTGGGAAATGGAGGTCATGTGATCTGTCTAGAGACAGACAAGTGTACGAGTGTCACTTCCATGCATGAACATGGAATGTCCTCAGAACAGCGGTGTTTATCCAAGTATAGCCTGGGACCCTTCCAGGGAGGCTGTGAGGTCGGAGTGATCTCATAGCAGCCGCAGGGTGTTATCTGCCCTCTTCATGTTCCTTCTCCCCTGAGACTACATGGTGTGGTTTTTAATCTTAACAGACTGCAAGTGTGCACGAGACGTTCAGCGATCCGCTGTAAAGCCGTGCACTGTAGAATAGGTGTGCACAAGGAAGTTCAGCCATCTGCCGTGCACTGTAGAGCAG